GACAGGCAGAGATAGAAGAAGAAAGACACTAGAAGAATTTGAGAACAAAACAAGAATCCAGGATTTATCCCCCTGACGTCTCACAACTTTCCTGGTCTTGGTTATAAATCTGAGTTATAAATTTGCTTCTTTTCTTCAAATGAACTCAAAACCTTCACTGAAAATAATAGCCAAGTAAAGACCTCATGTTTTTGTCTGTCTCCTATCTGTCTGTTGGATGAATCTGAATCTTTGCTGCTGAATGCTCTCGCGTGTTGTCTCTCCCTGTGACTGTGTCCCTAACAAAAGGTTTTGCTGTTTTTTTGAACAAACCAGAAATGGTCACATGGGGAAGGGAAAAAAGACCTCAGGTTTTACGTGCAGTTCTACAAGCTAAATCTCCTTTGAGAAGGAAAATGGAAACTGTGATCCAACGTGATTTAGTTCAACACAGAAACAATCAACCCATGTTGCTCACCTTGAGTCATGTTTCTGAGTTGAGAACTTACTTGCTATAATCACTGGAGACCTTCATAGTGGCTGTCCGCTATCATCGGCGGCTTATTCATGAGTATTTAGCCCTCTGGATATATCAGTACATATTTCTGACGAGCACCAGTATTTCTTTTAGCTTTATTTCTCAAATCATGACAGCAATAAAATTCTGTCACCAACACTGAACAACATAAATACAAAAGCATCTACTATCTTATGTATAAAATTCATTCCTTTTTTAAAATAGTCATTTATTTTTGGTATCCCTTGTTGCTGACTACGTTGAATTGGTTGGCAAAGCTATCAATCAAATATTCATTTATTTTACAAATGAATATTGAGTGCCCTGTGCAGTGGCCAGAGCACTGGCTGTATAAGCAGACAGAACTTAGTTTACATTTTGGCCCCCTTACTTAATAGTTTGGGGACGTTGGGCAAATAAGCCATGTTTCCATATTGTCTGATAGGAATGAAAATAGCTGTCTGTTATGAAGATGTCATAAGGTTTAACAACTTGTAAAACAAACCCAGGTATATACTAGCATTCAACAAAGGTTTTCTCTGCTTTACTGTCTTATGGAGGGGGACTTATAGACATAATAAGGCATATGCCACCCCTCCTTTAGAAACTAAAATGGGAGGAAGGCAAAATTATAGAAATAATTATGCATGCTAAGTTGTTAAGAAATAAGTATGCTTCTGTGGACCAAGAAGAGGTCTTGTCTACTAGTAAATCACGGCTAGAGTAACTTGCTGAAGGACAGGCGGGCAAAAAAAAGGCAAGGAATGGAGCAGACAGCAGAAAGGGCATTCTGAACAGGGGAGAATCTGCAACAAAATTAACAATGGTGCTGATGAGGAATGAGGATGATGAGAAGAATGAAAGAGCATCTAAGATGCCTGGCCATGGCCACAATGTTAGACGAACGCCAATAGGAAGCTTAGCCTTCAGTTTTACTACAGTTTATGACTTCTTCTTTTTTTCTTTTTTCTTTTCTTTTTTTTTTTTTTTTTTTTTTTCCTGGAGCAGAGGACCGAACCCAGGGCCTTGTGCTTGCTAGGCAAGCGCTCTACCACTGAGCTAATCCCCAATCCCCAGTTTATGACTTTTTCTAGGCTCTGTGTAGGTATCAGCTACTTTAATCCTCAGAAGAGTCCTAGGAGGAAAATGATATGCCAAGATGCTACTTAAGCTTCGCTCCATGGATGACACTTCACAGAGACAACACTTAACCCAAAGCTCTGGTCACAGATCAGGAAGCGGGTAAGGACTCACAGCCAACCCCTCGACCCTGCCCCTACAGGCTGCTCACTGCCCTGACTGCTTCTCAAAGGAAGACACACAGAGAATGAATCCTAGGGTGGAAGGGCTGCCACCACGTCTCACATGAATAATTCCAGCTACTGAGTCCATCAAAAGTACATCCCAAGATATTTTTATTTGATGATGAAAGCAGAAACCTTTCAGCACAATTTACGGATTAATTATTCATTCACACATTTAAGTTTCTGGCAGGTCATTTTAATTATATTGAATATTCATTTGATAACTGCTCTAATACAGACATACAATACAGATAAAATGTATACTCATTATATAGGGAGTTTGTAGTGTACAATTTCTATTAATTCCTAGGAACAACCTGTAAATGAAGAAATGCAGGAAGAAAGAAGGGGAGAAAAAGAAGAAAGCAGAGAGAGAAAGGAAGAAGCAGTGAACGGAAACAGCAGATCTGTCAGTCATCCTCTAGATGACAGGGTGGTGGAGCTGAGAAACGTTCGGGAGTTGGGGCATTCTATCTCTGGCTCTCTTATAGCAGCTATGTGTAATATTTAAAGCTTCTAGAACAGTGGTTCTCAACCTTCCTAATGCTGCGACACTTTAATACAGTTCCCCATGTTGGGGAGAGTCCCGACAATAAAATTATTTTTGCTGCTACTTCATAACTGTAGTTTTGCTACTGTTGTAAATCATAATGCAAATATCTGATATGCAGGATATCTGATATGAGACCGCTGTGAAAGGGTTTTTTGACCCTTAAGAGGGTCATGACCTATAGGTTAAGAATCATATTGGGGTTCCATGATACTATAGTTCTTTTCTGATGACCACAAGCCATTTTAGGATAATTAATGCCTAAAACCCTTAACCATCCACACCTGGATATCCTCATACGGCGCTTCATCATAGAGGGGATACCTAATGATATTTCATTGAATGAATGACTTCCATGGCATCCCCAAACACACTTCAATTCCAAACTGCTGATATTTCTAGCAGGAGGAAAACCCCAGACAAGGAGCTCTAGTTTTCTTCATTCATGGCCAGAGTTCTCCCCCACCCAGTGAAATCTCATTGGCAATGCCCTATGATATTACACTTAAAGACAAGTACAATATACTTTCGATTTGTCATGTACCTACATTAAAAGAGTAATCTCATTCCTTATATTTGAAAATACAGTAGTCATTTAGTAAAAACAATTTTCGAGGAAATTATTACATATTAGACAGGTTTTAAAATAGTATTCAATTCTAACTAAATTATAAAAACATTTTCATTAACTTATAAGTTTGAATTTAAGTTTACATGTGATTATTCGTTTCATTTAAAAAAGTTATTTTATCACATATCTGCTTAGGCCTCACAACTTACCTTCATTATGAGGAGCATATTACAATCAATGGATTATAACAAGCAACAGATTACTGGTTTTATCAATTATATAATCAGTACCAATCAATCAATATAAAATGGTTAAAGAATCAGGAAAATATGAAAGGATTTTGTTTCAAATAGTTGCTACAATTATAGGACAAGTCTTCTATGTGTGTAAGTAAACCCTGCAAATATTGAAATGACTACAAAAATGTGCTATGTTTCCAATGGGAAAGTAAAATTAGGGGCTATTAAGTTCTATGAGATGCACTCCACTAACATCCACTGTCCTCCCTCACCCGCCACATCCATATGTGCCTCCAGAGTGGACACTCAAGTCCCTGGTGAGTGTCTGGTAAGAGGATAACATTCAGAAGTAGGTGTCATTTGGCCAATGAAGAAGTTACTTTTGTTTTGAACTCATTCTTATCAAAAAGGTTAGGGCTATGAATTATTTACTAAAATAAAAATAATTCTGAGGAACACCTGCAATACCAGCATTCAAAGTGCCTAGGCAGAAGTTCAAGGCCCTGTCTCCATTGACCAATTAATCAATAAAACAAATAACCAAAGCATTTATTTTATTTTTTAGTTTTAGTTTTTGGTAAAGAGAACACAAGTTGAAAACATTTGGTAGTCAAAGACAATGCTGGTGATGTTAAGCTTCTGGCATGTGGCTATGATGTAAAACACTGGTCTATATCACTTAAGGAACAACTTGATGCTAACGCTTTTTGTTGCCCCCCCTCCCCCCTCCGCCGCCCAGTAAATCTAATAAAATGCCATTTCCTTTTCTTCCACTAGAGGGCAGCCTTTCAAAGCAAGGGCTAGAGTCTCAGCTAAAGCAGCTTTAACCTGTTGAAAACTGATCCCCACGTTGCACTTCTCTCAAGAGGTTTCTCCAGCACACTGTTTGGAAAACATACCTTTTACATTCTTCTCCTCGTCATAGGTGTTCTTGAGCTGAACACTTTCCTATGCTGCTGTAGTTTCCAGCCTAAATATTCAAAATGTTTTCACATAGAATGCTTCTCTAGAATATGGTCCTGGTTAAATAGTCAATGGAGTTGATAACCTTAAGAATGAAAAGAATCATTTTAAGTGCTCAATTTATGGTACTGGAAAACATCCTTGAGTAGAAAAATCATACATGGGAAACACATATGAGTACACACACAAACAATGCAACATCCATATTCATTGTGTGGTATCAGATTTACTGTATCACATATACAGAAGTAGTTATAATTGAAAAAGTTTATTTTTTAAATGTTCCCCCTTATGTACCAATGTTATGAGGTTGGGAGAAGCAAATATTTGCTGTAATTTAAAAATCCAGTCAGTGAAGATAAGAAATTTCATTGTAAAACCTGAACAAACAACAACAACAAAAAAGGAAGGGAGGAAGGAGGCAAGAAAGAGACAGAGAAAGAAGGCTATTCACTGCCTGCACACAGGCTAAAGCAGGGCTGCAGGGGAGCCAAGGCAGTCAGAAGAGCTGCAGGCTGCCCTCCTTCAACGTAAAGCCACAGCTAAACTTCACAGACCGGGAGTGGAGTCGCTACCGAGTGTTAATATTCAGGAAATCCTTATTCATAGTGTTTCCTCTCTGTTCTCAGAGAGAAAGAGAGAGGACGGAAAAAAAAAAAAGACCCACAGTTTCTCCAAATGACTGATAACAGCCCAAATGGGAAAACTTGTTGAAAATCCCTGCGCATTCCTCCAAAAGGAAAAAAAGAAAAAAGGAGGAAAGACAGCGGTCCCAAGGAAAAATATGCAAGCCTGCTTCATTTATTTGTACCCTAAGCAGCAGCAAACGCTGTCATAGGACAGACAGGCGGCTTCAGCCAACCAGGCTGGAGCAGCTGCCAGTGCTACATCTTGGCAGTCTGAAGCGATTGGCTCCTCTCTGGGGAGCGGAGGGTGTTCAGTTATTAATGACCGCTGAGCGGGCAGCACCATGTCAGTGTGACAACTGATCTGGTGAACGATGCACCACTAACCACCATGGAAACGAGGAGAAATAAAGCCAGCTAGCAGGATCGCGCCTCACCGGATCCAGAGCCTCAGCCTGCTGCCGGAGAGAGTTCCAGTCAAAAGGAGGAAGGGATCCCAGCTGCCGGCTCCTGCCTTCCTTTAGATTTTAGAAAAAAAGAGATACCATTGCTTGCATGTGTGCATATCTATAGTATATAATTGTGTATACTTTATTACACATTCATATGCACCTATTTATACTGGGTAAGAAGACAGCCATGTGATTATCTCAGTCAAGGGACCGAGCAAGCAGGGACACCGGAGGAGGGCTATCCCTGCATCTGCTAATGCAAGGTAAGTTTAAAATATACCTATCTATTTCAGTGTTCTCTATTTCGTCTTCTGTTGATGCTTGTGTTTTTACACCTCAATTCTCCTTTGATGTTTCCTCCCTGCCTGAATTCTAAGGGCATTTTCCTTTGCATTTCACTTTTGAGTGAACATGCAAACCCCTCCGGCTCTGTGTGTGCCTAGCTGTGTTCGTGGGATTCTCAACCAGGCATTTTACTAGCTTGAATGCCCATCAGAGGATGTGAGTGGGAGAGAAAAAGCAGTGTCGGGGGAGGAGAAAGAGGAGGGAGAGAGAAGAGAAGGGGACCCAGGGGGAACAGGGAGAAAGAGAGCGAGTGAGCGAGCGAGCGAGCGGGAGAGAGGGAGACAGAGAGGCTGGGGGAGAAGAGGCCAGGAAAGAGAGGGGAGAAGGAGAGAGAAACAGATGTGTGAGAGGGAGATGGTAAGATCGGGTCCTTTTCTTCACAGTTCTTGTAATGAAAAGCGGATCACTCATGTTCTCTGTTGGGAAGCCAATGAGGCGGCAGTTTTACCCCCTGCCCCAGTGGATGGAGATTAAGGTGAATGCTGTTGTGTGTCAGGAGTGAAAGGCACCAGGTAGAGTAGCAGACTGAGCATATCACAAACAGTTATTGAATTTCTGCCAGGCTACATCTTACCGATTGTGGTAAATGACTTCCCTTTAATAACATCCCATCTCGTCGCCGGTCTGAAGGGACAGTGCAAATGTCTGACTGCTAATGCAGCAGAAGGAACGACCATGCTAGGTAAAGGGATCCTAGGAGCCAGAAGAGTTCTAATCTTCCTTGGTAATTAACAGGACCACGGAAGGATGGCTTCAAAGTCCATCTCCTATTTACGAAGATGGTTTGTTCAGACTAACTGTAATATTCCCTTTGCTTGCACTGAGCTGGATGGCTTACTTCAGCTCTAATTTATTCATTTTTAACAATATGTCCTTGTTTCAGCGCCACTAATTTTAGTGAAAGCAGGCTATGAACACGAGTGAGAATCTTCCTAGTTTAGGGAAAAGGAGACAGTGTGAGAAATAAAGAGAGAAGTAAAAACTGCAAATGCCTATCAGGAAAACAGTGTGCCCTGGTACAGCAAATATTACTTGTGCCCTGAGCTCCTCATCTCCAGCTCCAAAAGCGACGCCTTTGAGCCAGAATCGCTGTCAGTCAACTCTCTAGCATCCATGTAGTGATGATTCATGGAATACTCTGTGGACTGATTTTCACTTCCAATCTTGTAAGCAGCAGCCAGCTACTTAGAATATGCTTTCAAAGAGACACCAGCAGTGAGGATGGCTATGGAAAGCTTCACTGCCCCTCTAAAGGGTGCTGGGGAGACAGTAAAACAAACCCAGCATTTCTATCTCTTCTGCTGGAGCGCTTTCGTTTCTTCTTAGTTCAACTCACAGTTAATGGAGTCTGCTGCTGTGAAACTGGGTGCTCGTCTTTTCCCAAACTGGGATTTCAGACCCATTGGCTTCCCAGTTTATAACAAACAGATGCCAGAGCTGAAAGACAATAAGCAGCCACTTAGATCCTGCCACCTTCCCATAAATGTGTCAAAAAATGAGTCGGTTTACAATATGTAACGTAAGAAGTCAATTAATTCCGGCGACCTTTGTGAACGATGACAATAAAGCGGCTTGACAGTCTGCCGGTGCCTTCGATTTCCCCTCTGTGAAATGAACAAGTTTCAGGAAAGGGTTCTTGCTCCAAGTGAAAAATGAAAGGAGCTGAAGCATTAGCTAGCAATATTGGCAGCCTGGCTTGCACTGCCTCCGACGCCACATGCAATCTATACAAAAAACACAATGATGTATTACTGGGAGGAAAGCTGTTGCCTTTGCTTCACTTCTGTTCATTAGAAGTGCTGCTGTTGAGACAGACTGACCCTGTTATTGTGAGGTAGCACCTAACTTCCTGAGCAAGAGCGAAGGCTGGGAGCAGACGCACAACCTCCCATCTCAAAAGCCTTGAGAATGTAGCACTGCAGTATGGATTTCAGCTTTCGCCCAGACCCTTTCCAGGGAAACTTTCATAGCAAACATATCCATCCTTAAATCCTATCCGGTCTAATTTTAGATCACAACCAGTAACAGCTAAGAACAGCAGATTCACCCTTTAACCTTAGCAAAGCTCTTACATTTATTTTGTATGTCAGCAATGTCCCCACTTGGATCTGAGAAATACTGGCACTCCAGGCCCTGGGTGGTGTCACTATGTATGTGAGTTTGGTGATATGGTAACCCATGTGAGGCGATGGGCACACAGGCATATCTGGAAGACTTAACCACTCATATTCTTCCCAGCCATGTAGCAGTATTGGAAATGACGGCTTTGTGACCAGGCAAGCCGAAGAGGGCCACCTTTTCAGGGTGCTGCTTGTCACTGACAAAGTGCTAAGCTAGGATGCTGGTGAGTAGGTGGAATTTTTTCTTTGGTGGCTGTAGTTGTTGCTGCTGTTAATGGTTTAATAAAGTGTACTAGCTGCTTTCTAAGGCGGCAGTTTCGGACTGAGGAGAGGTGACCGGTGTACGGATCACTGGTGCACTCACTCAGTCTTTGTTCCTATTTATTACACTTCCTGCTTCTGCCCCCAGAGCAGGTGGAAGTTGCAATTTTCCCTAACTCTTTTGGGTCCCTGGCTCTGGTGTAAAATTACTGTTTAACATGACATTGGTGCTCAGTGCAAGCTGATGCAGTTGATCAGAAGGGTTTGCAACCTAAGGAATTTTTTAAGGTAAATATTATTGCTAAGCTGGTGGATCTGAAGGTCTTTAAAAGGAAGCTTTGTCAAAAATGTGCTCTTCCTTCTAGGCTAAGTAAGGGTGCCCCAAAAGAGTAATTTATGTAAAAGTACATGGCTCTAATCAATCTTAAGAAACAATGGCTGCAGACCACTGAAATAGTCTACATAGCTCTGGTTTTGAGTGCTGAGCCATTTATGAACTGCTTCTTTGATATATGAAAGTAGATACACCATTGGCCACGGAACACATCAGTGTAACATGTCCACATTGTCAACACAGAGCTCTCACCCTGGCTCTACAAGGAACACTTAGGAAAACTTCCCTGGGTGACATCTGTGCATAGGAGAGCACAGCAGCCCATCCCTTGTCACACAGCGATGTCCAGGAAGGGGACCCTAACGGCATTTCATCCTTTGGTCACAATGTCAAAGGAAATCAGATTCCAGCATGCAAAAGTAGATGTTACCAACGGATGAGACAAAGTGACGTGGAGAAGAGAAATGTTTCCCTTTACCTGATGGGAGAAGCAGATCACCAAAACTACTGTTTGGAAGTCAACCAGTCCAAGATTAGTGAGGAAAACTTAACATTCATCTCAAACCTTTGTCAAGTACAGTAACTACCTGGTCACTTACTATATTTGCATAACTGTGAAGTTTATACACACCTGTTTGCTATCACATTCATCCATCTTTAGACCATAAGGAAGGCCTAATTTTTCTAAAACACCACTAAGTATTTTACAGAATCACACAGCTTCAACTCGGGAGAATGAAACATGGTATCTTCATACACTAATAGCATATTTGAATGGAAAGCAATTCATTCAATATGTTCATTTGACAGGTGAAAAGACCCAGAGAGTTTAACATTGTTATAATTATAATGAAATAAAAACATCATTAGATTTTGAATTTGCTCAGCTATTTCCTGGAGAGTTCTAGAGCAGAAACCCTTTTAATGTTCATTCCATTATTCAAAGTTGGCCTTCTCTGCCTCATAGAAAGATGCAAAGTATACACCATTTAAAAAAAATGTTTATCCATATAAAGTATTGTAGAAACAGAAGTTACCATCCATTAACAGTTATATTTCAAGTGCATAACACATAGACATTTCAAACCCCCGGTTCCCATTTATACACAGTCCATTATACTCTAAGATGAGTCATACAGTTTAGTGTTCCCCTGCTGTTCAAAATCTTAGTAAGAATACCGCTATCCTTTGCCTAGAGATGCAGTTGTTAATTATAAGTTGTACATTTCCCCGCGAATCCACATTATGTTTGTTTCAAATATCTCAAGGTACTTAATATTTTCCTCTCTCTATTCCTTTTTCATACCCATGCCTTGCCTGTATGAGACAAAAGAAAACAATCTAACCCTCCTTTCTAATCCCTCGCTGCTTTTCATTTTCAGACTGGCAGCCTTTATAAGCAATGCTTATACTACTACTTTTACAGCTCAATTTCTTTTCTTTTTGTAAAATTTCTCTCTGTTTCTAAAATATTCTCCCAATTTGATGAATACAATAATAATTAATAACCCAGAACTTTAGGGAAATAAAGAAGGATATTAAAAATGGATAAGAACATGGATATTTGTTTAAAGCTCTATTGTTCACAGAGCACTTTTTCCCATGTCCCTCTGCCCAACCTAGAAGGCCAGGATGGGAACGACAATGGTCATTCTTCTAACACAGGACAGTGAGGTCCTGTTACATTAGGGACATGCTGACAGGAGAGGAGCCATGGTCTTGCATGAGTAGCAGGTAGCAGAGCAGTACTTTTTGCCACATCTGAAGCAACAGAAGCCACCTTTGTCCTCCACTAACTCGCTTTCAAGACTGACCTTCCCAGTCTTTTGTTTTCTACATGACATCAAAATAGATCTCCACGGATTTCCGCAAACTAAAGACCTACATTTCTTAATTTAAATTACAGTTTAAAAATGCCATGCCTATGCTAAATGAGAAAAATAACCACTGAGGACTGACAATGTATGCATGGATGGAGGACAACCCAGTGGGGCTCTGACAGCCTATTAAGGGTCACATCGCTTCAAGAAAACTGCCACTTTCCCCATATGGTAGGAAGTGGATCAGGAGGGAGGTAGTGAGGAGGACTTGATCAAAACACATTACATGTCTTACATAATTAAAAAAAAATCATCAATCTTTAGATCTAAGGTGCTCTGCCTACTCTTCCACATGTCCGTCTGACAACATCAGCATTCTGATAGTCAGATGAGGGGCACAGGTCTCAGAAACTGACTGTAATGGGAAATAGTAAGTCCCTCAGGAGCTTTTCTAGGTTATCAAAAATTATGATGCAAGTTCTTGGGTGACTAGAGGATCCGCCCGCCCATGAGCACACCAGTGAAGGTAAACTGAGAAGCCCTCCTTGGGCATCTCCTTCCTGGTTATTCAACCATCCACGGAAGTCACTAACTTAAAGATGTTAACTGCTAAATTTGCAAAATAATAATGTAAAAACGCCAACAAACTTCACTGACAAAATATTTCTTAGTCTGAGAACCTAAGTGAAAAATACATTTTACTTTTAAAATTAATATAGTCTTTGAAATGAATGAAAATATCCTAAATTTTCAAAAGCAAAAACCAAACCAAAACAACAAAAACAAATCAGCAAAGACCTGATGTGTGTGCTGTCAGGATGGACTTCTAAGAAGCAGAGCACCCTTGGCTCCCAGCAGCGCACTCAGGGAGGGTCAGTCTTCATGGGCTTCTGCCTTCCTGCCCTCACAGGCAGACCCAGGCAATGAGTTTTAAGTCAGTAACAGTTCTCTTTTTCCAGAGGCAGAAACCATTGGGACCTATATCCCTGCAGAACCAGGAAAGGAAACAGAGCTTTCTGCTTGTACAAAGCAGGGGCCTCAGGACCAGGCACAGAAATGCTCCTCAAAGCATGCTCAGAAGTGTGCCAGAGCTGGGCGAGATCCGTCAGAAAGGCTCAGCTTTACGGCAGCTGTGAACAGCGTGAAGCTGCAGGCTGTTTTGACCACAGAAAATGTAGAAGCTTCATTTTTCACTATGGTAGTAAGATGAATTTAGGCTTATATGTTTTTTTTCTAAAACTACTAAATTAATACAAAGATTATAAAGAAAGCCAAATAAATTGTCTTAGTAGATTCATTTTCTGGAATAATTTTTTTATAATACACTACAGTCTCATGACAAAAAATGGGGCATTTAAATCACCCTGTCAACAAAATTGTAAGTTCACTTTGGTTAAGAAAATAAAAAAGGACCAGGTAGCGGTGGCACACACCCTTAATCCCAGCACTCAGGAGGCAGAGGCAGGTGGATCGCTGAGAGTTCAAGGAAAGCCTGGTCTACTGAGTGAGTTTGAGCTCCAAAGCTACACTGAGAAGCCCTGTTTAAAAAAAAAAAAAAAAAAAAAAGGAAAAAAAGAAACAAAAGGGAAAATATCAAAAAAAGATAATAAAACCAGACATATCTTGTCACCATATGACTCATCTTTATCTTTATACATTTAGAATATTCTCCTTATCATCACATTTATATGCCTAAGAAATCCCAGTTTACCAGAGCTTGCTTGCAGTGTTTATGGGCTCAGCTTCATTCTATTTTTACCAAAAGTCAGTCTCAGAAACACTGAGTACTAAAAATGTTCTGCAGAGTATTCAACACCTGCAGGACACAGGGGAGCACAGTGACCTTTGCTAAAATTTCAGTAGTCGCAGGGAATCACTTCAATATGTAGCTAGGAAGATGGCATTCTAATTCTCACAAAGGGTAAGGGGTTGACGACATCACACTGCAGGTGCTTAAGGCCCAGAGTAAGGGAAGGGTCCAGCTGGCAGCACTCCATCACCAAAGAGAAAGGGGTGGGATGGAAGAGCAAAGCCATGTGAGCACCACACACATGGAACAGAGATACATTCAAAGCACACGCAAACCGCGCATGAAAAATATATAAAATATCTTTATAAGATAGGAGCTTAGACTTTCTTCATGCAACAAGTCAATTTGCTGTGAATAGCTGCATGTATTCTCTTTCCAAATATATCATTTGTATCTGTTCCTCTGACTGTACTTTATCATCCATACATTTTTTTTATACACACTACAGTTGCTCAAAGACTTTCACAGGTAATGTTCAGCCACCTCTTTAAAATCAGCCTGTTGCCAAAATAACATTCCATAATGGGTTGCTTTGTTTTTAAGGAGCAAGCAAATTCCACTTTCCTTTCAGAGTCCCATTTTTCATTTACACTCTGATGTTATTGAACAAAATGGTCGAAGAAATGAAGAATTAAACATTGTGGCATAAATTACATCAGCAGAAAACCTGTAAGTTCAAAACCACATTAGTTCTCTTAGACAACACTCCATTGACTCAGGCAATGGTGGTGACACCAGCCTCCGTGTGAACAACTTCGCAGCCAAGTCCTTACTCAATGCTCACGAGAGCCACATGGAGAATTATTATTAATTCCATTTATAGAGGAGTAAAACAGGCTGAGGAAAGAAAAGTAATCTAACAACCACTTAAAGACAGAACAGGAAAAAAAGCCTAAGTCAACTTGCCTCTACAAAACATTCATCTGTGTCATCCAGGTCAACCCTGCCTCCCAATGATTCCACTTGTCTAAACTGCCCCCCTGGATTCAGGTTCCTCAC